CACGATTCGATTACGATTCAGAGGGCTGCGATTCGATTATAGAACGATTATCGATGCATCACTTTTTCTATACAGGATCCCTGGATAATTACTAAGCATTTAATTTGCACATTAAAATCCAAAAGAAACATCTCCTAATTAGCTTAAAAGGACTTGTTTGCATCCCTAATATACTTTATTAACCTCAGCTCTATGGTCCATTTCTTTAACATCAGCCTCCTCTGAAAGCAGACATATAAAAGTTAATTATTAGGATATAGCCTACGGTTTGTGTACACAGGACAGAGCTGTACACCAGTTTAGTCTAAGCTTGTACCTGATGTTCTCTACCCTTGGCTAGTAGGTTAGTTAGTAATGACATACAGCTGATAATTAATATTACTTAGTTACTAATTTAGCTTAAACGTTACATAAATAAATATTTTAGCACATTTCACAGGACCCAATGACGCTTTACACATCGTTACAAAACAACAAAAAGTCATTCAGGATTTAATGCCTTGGTAAAGAGCTGGGTTTTTAGTAGATTTGTGAAAGTGTCCAGACAGGGAGCATTTCTGTGGGGATGAGGTCCAGAGGGTGGGGGCTGTGACGCAGAATCCTCTGTCCCCAAACTCCGGCTCTTTTCCAGGGGAGATGTTAGCTAGGTCTAACAGCCTTCACTTTTCCAGCCGTTGGGGAAACAGACTTTTATCAACGGACACACAGTGACCTACGCTGCACGTTTACTACCAGACTGAAACTTAATGCTAACAGATTCCTCCGCTAACTTTCACTGTCTCGTTTGCCGCTCGCTCGGCCTCTCACACAGGATACACATAGAGCTGCAGAGCGTCGAGTGTCACCATGCTCGCAGTGTCTGAGTTAAAATCATCACGTGCGCATTGATATTAATGACTGTGTGACATTTTAGTAGGGTGGTTATTCATTCTGTAGGTGTCAAATACAGGGGCACACCGGTCTCTCTGTTGTGTGCGCTCGCAGACGGTCCGGCCGTGGCACTTCCCGCGAGGTCCGCCTATTGCGTTCCGTCAACATTATGTTATAATTAACTTTTAATAATTGATTTTTAGACATTTGTTAATCGATTCATAATCTTCCACGTCAGTATCGCGATGCATCTAAGAATCGATTAATTCTCCCACCCCTAATGTACATGTAATGATACTCTCTGACCTCAAGGTGATGCTGTAAAAATAAGTTTGCATTTTGGCAATTATCTCAAAGATTAAATTCTTTCATCACTTTAATCATTTGCATCTGTTCTTTCCTCTGAAAATGTCAAATGTTGCGTTTTTCACAACGCCACCTCCTTCACATCACATCATTGCCGCTTGCAGGTTAAAGTCCCAAACCAAGCAAGGTTGCACCTCAGTGTTTAGATGTTTAAATTGCATAACTCTTATTATTAATGGGATCTTTTCACATATGTTGATGAATAGTGGTTGAAAATTTTCTACATTACTGCAGCGGTTGTTAAATAATGGGCAACTCAAAAGAGAGGAGCCACAGAACATCCAAATGTTTTAACATCTACCCTGTGTAACAGTATTTCATTCATACCTGGCATGGGCATCCCACTTCCCATTGCCGTCAGGACCGGCGTCGGAGCACTGGGTGGTGGCGGAGCGTCTGCAAACAGCTGATGTGGCCTGTCTGCCTGGGAGAGAGGGTTTTGTGCAGCCAGGAGTCGTTCTGCAGCTGAGCCATGACGTTCTCCCTTCGAATCCTTCTTGAAGGCATAGGACACTGTGATAGGCCTGTTGCAGAGATACTGACCATTCATGGCCTCAATGGCGGCATCTGATGCGTCAAAGCTGGCAAAATTGATAAAAGCATAACCCTTGGAGTTGCCAGTGTCTGGGTCTCGCATGATCTTTGGCGTCTGGAGGATCACGCCAAAGGCGCTGAATGTGTCGTAGAGCAGCTTCTCATCAATCTCCGGGTCCAGATTACCAATGAAGATGTTAGCACCCACATCCAGGTTTTTATTGTGTGCAGAGGCCTTATTAACTCTAATTGGTTTGCCATAGAGCTTTATCATATTCATGATTTTGATGGCATAGTCAGCATCCTCTTCACTGAGGAACTCAACAAAGCCATAACCTGAGGAGGAGTGAAAAGGGTTAGCTCCATGATTGATATTTATCTACAAAAGGAATTCAGCAGGGACAGAAAAAAAAAAGTGGGGCTGTTTTTTATTTTTTTTTACCTTGATTGATATGTTGCTACCTTGGAAAACACAGTTTTAGAGAATATTAGCAGATACTCACCCTGATGTTGGCCAGTGACCCTGTCTTTGGGCATGTGTGTGTTGACCACAGGACCAGCCTGCAGGAAAAGCTCCCATAGTAATGGCTCAGACACTTTCTCGTCCAAGCCGCCGACATACACAGTGGCATCTAAAAAATTAATAAGAATTTAATATAAATTTCATTCAGTCCAGCCTTTAACCTTGGTTTGGGTTCAGTCAAAATAAAAGGCAGCGACTGCTGCCGCTAATCTTCCATTTATCATGTATAAATACCAAATGTGTTGCTTGTTTTTCTTCCTTTTACATAAGTCTGGTAGCCTGCAGTGGAGATTTATTATCGTTTTTACATGCAATTGAATTAATGATGATTTACTATGATGAAATGTAACCTTATTATAACTAGTTTTGGATGTTATGTAGGTCCATATATTCACTCTTTTACTAAGCAGTGAAATAAGTATGACAAATGAATAAACATTTGTATGAGCAAATTTATTACATCATATAAATCTACTAAAAGTATAAATATGGAATATAAAATACTCATAGAAAATACATAAAATAAGGGCCTTGAGAAAACAATACTGTATTGAATATGAAAAATATATTTAAAAAAAAAACTTAATCAACACATGCATCAAAGTAAAGAAAAAAAGTGTTTTTATAAAATAAACTGTTTAAAAAAGCCTTAACTGATAATGATCACAAAGAAAAGTCAAAGGCATTTATAAGAAGATAACTCAAAAATCACACACACAATACACATCTAAATTAGAAGAAAATTGCAAAAACACACAATTAAAGATCTTTAGCCTCATCCCTGTATATTTGAGCTTTAGCATGAGTGCACTGGTAGATCAGTATATTTTTAGGAACGATACAACCACTAATGAATTCAGAAACATATCTGCAGATGAGATTCTGTGAGTAGGCGTAAACCAAAGTGAAAAGGAAAATGTGAGATTAACAGGGTTGTATCCAAGCTGCAGAACTGTGAGGTCAAAGTGTTCACTGTATCAGTTCAAAGGCCTATTTTAAGTATTTCATGAAGAGAAATGAAATGTAACCTTATTATAACTAGTTTTGGATGTTATACGACCTGAAGTTTACAAAACATTTCTCAAAATAATATTAAAAACCTTCATTCTAGTGGCTAAGATTAAAGTTACACATAAAAGCAATAGGATCATAGGATCCCTTTGCTACATACTAACTGATGTTGAATGAAAGCTTGTGGCGTTTCAGTTCTTTGGAAAAGACAGTTAACACCCTATTGAGATTACTCCACAATTTATAAAATATCAAAATAATATTACACAATTAGTAACCTAATAGTCTGATATGTTGTCCTTTTACATATCAAATGCTGTGTAAAAGCACCTTAAGCGAGACCGAAATCTTGGTACTATCAGAAATAAAGTCTGATCATTTGTTAAGTCAGTGATCGCCGAGTTGTGCCACATACTGTTAGCTTGCTAAGCTAACTTTAGTTGTTAGCCAAAAGGACGTGTCTCTCTGCGTCCAATATGTTAACAAGAGTCGACACATTTAGAACAATCAAAACTCAACGCTACACATATATTACTCTGCAGCAAAAACAGTAAGAAATTAAAATAAATATAAATGAATTGAATTGCTAAGTTAGCGGGAAGCCAAGCTAACAACTGAACACTTCCATGTGATCGACCGGTTTTACCACAAACTGTTAGCAAAACAGGCGACCAGAGACGCTCATAAAACGACAAGGTGAGCAGGCTGAGGTGTAACCCACAAGCAGATTCAAAAACGACCGAAACAAAAGGCTGAAACAGGTATAACAATGTTGCAGTTACCTTGGTTTCTCTCTGAAATTGGTCCCGCTGCCATGTTAAATGAACAACGCACGGCGAGCGTCCTTAACTGAGGCCCCGCCTCTTCCTGTTTGTGTGCCGGAGGCGGACGTAGTAATACAAAATAAAAGAATCCTTCCAAATATTTCTGCATTTGTTTAAATAATCTTTTACTTTCGTATTTCGCAACAGTAAACTATTTGAGAAATTAGCTTATTCTTACTGAAAGAGGAAAGGTGGTTTTATTTTTCATTTTCTTCGTACAATATGTATTTAGGTTAGGCTTGGTTGTGGAGGTGAGAGATTATAGCAAGCCAAAGATTATTTGTTATGTTGAACTGAATGTGTTTCAACTGCATATCCACAACAAAGGCTATCATCCACACATCATCTGTTCTGTTGTTTTATCCATTTACCTGTTTGAACCTTAATTAAAAAGCTCAACAAGGGTCAGGGGCTGGAAATTAGCTTCAGCTAGATGCCCCATACTGAATTCGTATTATCACTTGCATTACAATATTTATTTTTTATGTAACAGTGTTTATCTGTATTGTTCCTGTTGAAAAAAAACCTTTAGTATGGAACCAGAAATTCATGTGCAGTCATAATATTAACACGTGTTGCCTGGAACAATTGCAAAGATCTTTTTTCTCTTTTATAAATTTCCTGGGTAATCCATGTTACCTCCATCAAAACACAGCTGTAGCCCAAATGTGATTTGGAGCATGTATCCCTGTGTATACAACATACAACGTGTAAATTTCATCTTAAATTGTTTGTGAAAAGCTACTTTTTCATTAGTGTAAATTATGCTTGTACCACCATTAAAAAATATTATCCATTTACTTGATCCAAGTTATGTAGGTTCATATATTCACTCTTTTACTAAGCAGTGAAATAAGTATGACAAATGAATAAACATTTGTATGAGCAAATTTATTACATCATATAAATCTACTAAAAGTATAAACATGGAATATAAAATACTCATAGAAAATACATAAAATAAGGGCCTTGAGAAAACAATACTGTATTGAATATGAAAAATATAAAAAAAAAAAAAACTTAATCAACACATGCATCAAAGTAAAGGAAAAAAAGTGTTTTTATAAAATGGATAGGAAAAAATAAATTGTTTAAAAAAGCCTTAACTGATAATGATCACAAAGAAAAGTCAAAGGCATTTGTAAGAAGATAACTCAAAAATCACACACACAATACACATCTAAATTAGAAGAAAATTGCAAAAACACACAATTAAAGATCTCTAGCCTCATCCCTGTATATTTGAGCTTTAGCATGAGTGCACTGGTAGATCAGTATATTTTTAGGAACGATACAACCACTAATGAATTCAGAAACATATCTGCAGATGAGATTCTGTGAGTAGGCGTAAACCAAAGTGAAAAGGGAAATGTGAGATTAACAGGGTTGTATCCAAGCTGCAGAACTGTGAGGTCAAAGTGTTCACTGTATCAGTTCAAAGGCCTATTTTAAGTATTTCATGAAGAGAGCTGCAGGGTCTTTGCCAAGAAGACAACATTATTTAAAAAACATTTTCCTACTTGTGCTGCACACATATTTTGTAAGCTGAGTACCAAACAAACACTATATAATGATTAGAAAAGCATACCAAAGGTAGTAAGATTTAATAGATCCTTCATAATCTAATGTCATGTAACATATTTAAGGAATAGTTCGACAATTTGGGAAATACGTTTATTCACTTTCTGGTGGAGAGTCAGATGAAAAGATTGATATCACTACATATGTACTGTAAACTTTAGACTCTAGAAAGTTACTGGCCCTCGATGAATAGGCAAATTGCAATTTTTACACACTTATTTTTGTTTTTACAGATTAAAGAAATGAGAAATAGCATATGAACTTGTCAGTTTTAGGGGTGCTGGTAGGCAAATTTTATTACTGTTCAACAGGGCTAGGCTAACCTTTCTGTCTTAATGGTACACTAAGCTAACTGGCTGCTTTTTATGTAATGCACAGCAGACATGAGAGTGGTGTCAATCTTCTCAGCTAACTATCCACCAGAAAGCAAATACAAGAATTTCCCTAAATATCAAACTATTCCTTTAAGGTACTGTAACAGTAATATAGCATGTAATCTATATTTTAACCTTTACATGAAATGACAAAAAACATCATAAAGCAGAGTAGAACATACTTTAAAGACCTCATAAAATGAAATGAAAGTTTTGAGTTTTTTACATGTCAAACTATTGCATGTTACAATTTCCATAAAGGCACAATGATCCCAGGGAAGAGATACAAGAATACAATAATAAAATTGGTTCTGGCTCCATCACATTCCATCTCTGCTTCTTCTTCTTTTTTTCTATTTGCCGTCTCCCAAAAATTTTGTGTAATCAGTTTCTGATGTTGACAATCCACCAGCAAGACAGGCCCTCCTGCTGTTTAACCCACATAACTCAATGCCCACAGTTCCCTCCAACCAGAGCCTCTCATTATCAATTAAACTCTCAATTCCATTACATGGGGTCTTTAAAAGACTACTCACTGAAAACCGTTCATGCTTATAATGTATTCAATACTTTTAGATAGATAAAGAAAAATAAAGATATCACATTTACAGTATAAACGAATTCAGGTCTTTCAACATAAAAAATATTTGAAAGGTGATAAGTGCGTGTTTCATACATTTTTGTTAGCCCGTGGACACACACTAGCACTGCTAACAAAGTTCCGAACTTCCAGTTCGTCAAAAACATAAACCACAAGTGCTGGTACTGTTTTGTATTGACTACAATAACTCATACATGATGAATCATTCATCAACTCCACATTTTTCCTCCAGTCACTACAGTGTTCATGCTGAGGTCCCGGGCCTACATTTTAGTCAACAAAGCAACAACTCCTCTTAACTCCTCCAGATGAACCACTTGACACAAACACAATCTGTATCACGAGAGTAATTCAATAGTCTAAATGTCAGCACCGCTTAACAGATCCCTTAGTTGATAGCACACTGAAAATATACATTCAGCTAGTGTCATGGTCACCAAGCGATCAATGAACACTAAAATAGTTGTCAGGAGCCTTCACAAACAAAAAGAAAAAAGATAACTTAGTGATGGTTCACTATCTGATTTTTTTTCTCCAAAAACCTGAGCTGCTGTCAGAGCAATCAGTCTCCTGCTGACAAGTACCCACAAATTATTACATGAGCCAATATGTATGTTTCATTTCTTATTTAAATTTTGGTATCATTTGAGGATTTCCACATACTTTTGTCTCTTTGCTGTTCTTGCTGTGTTTGTGGCGACAAAATATACTGATTATTCATGGACACAGGGTATTTGCCATCAAGGTTTAAAGACCCATACATTTGACCAGCTTCACTTGCCAGACTCCAAAATACTATGTGCAAGTAAACCCACCCAAAACATGAAAGAAACCAACTTCAGAATGATCCATACCCTGATCAAATGTGTTTGGTTTGATGGGTCATATTAACGTATGTCCTGTACATTCACTGATGAAAGGCAGGCTGTGTTTCTGTACGTCTTCTTTGACTAAATACTGTATGAAATAAAGAAATAAACAAACATGTAAACCTCAGTCAGCTGGTATGCCAAGCACGTTTACAGGTGTTTTTTTTTTAAAGCACTGTAATTGTATCCTGTAATCACGAGGCACAAAGAGGTAACGGCTATAGCGGTAGGTGTGTGTTTTATGGACGGCTGTGCATACTGTAAGTCAAAGGACTGATTACCTGGTTGTCATAAAAAAACACAAGAAACCTAAAAGTTCAGATGACATCACCTTTAAATCTATGAAGGGATCAATACTGTTACCAGGAATCCTATGGAGTGTGAAGGCATGTTTCCAAAATGGACGGTAGGTTTAGTGCGAGGGCAGGGTGGCAGTGTTGGCTGCACTGAGTTGGCCCACGGCTAACATCAGGATGTCTTTCTTCTCTTTGTAAAAACGCAGTTCTCTGCCCGCCAGCCTGGCGTCCTCCAGTTCTCGCTCTGTCGATGCCACCTCCTGCGCAATAGTGGCCGCCACGCTCTGTTCCCGGTTCACCCAGTCGGCAGCCATCTGAGTGCGCATGTCATCGTCCAGAGCCCGGTGGGAATAGTGAGCCAGCACTTCCTGCAAATAAAATAAGTTCAGCAGTGTCACAGAGGGAAAGCTAAGTGGTCTCACCAATTCGAGATCAACACATGACTTCAGTAAATCTCTGTCCATGACTGGCAAAACTCTCAGCTAAAGGATCGTGTTTCCAATCTGAAGTAGTGAAGCAGCGCCAGAAACGATCAATCCACATTAAATACAGTTTCTTCTTGAAGTGTATTTCAAAGATTCAGTGTTTCCGCTCTCAATTACATTCAGTTAGTCGCAGTGGGCTGCCAACTCAGTTTTTAGCACCACAGCAGTCCCTGGCCTCATGTTACCTGACCTACAACTGCTCCCACGGGATTTTAAATGTGGTAAAAAAGAGAGCACTGGTATTGGATCAGTACTCGATATCGGCAGATACCCTGAGTTGAGGTATCAGATGTGGTATTGGGAAAGTAAACCTCAATTTGGTGGTGTCCTAATTTGAAGATACGTCAATGACAACCAGAGATTATTTTTAAAATCAATCTTTTAGGTAGCCTGTGTTAGAATTCGGGAGCTTGTTTTCCAGCTCACCCCTGCACTCTAGCAAGGCTCCCGCTCATGGTGAGCAGAGAAAATGTTTAATCTGTCTGGACCGGTCATGCAATGCAGGGAAAGATTTGACTCTCTGTTTAGGAAACTTGATGAAAAAGCGATGAAAACTACTACTGTGCTTGGATAACTGAACCCTCTCTGTGAGATATATGACAGTACCTGTCGGGAACACTGTCGTTCTCTCATGGCTTTGAGACTCCCGTTCCAGTGCAACAGCTGGAACACAGTCATCAGCTCCTGAAGCACAAACACAGCCAAGCCAGCAGTAATAAGGCATCAAACTCGCTTCAGAACACTCGATATGTAGCAAGTTCAGTATTGCAAAGAATGCATGCTTCCTTCAGACTTCCTGTTTCCTATTACTAGACACAGGGTTAATATGTTTTAGCCTCAAGCTCCATGCTATAAGTAAAAGATAAGCAGAATATCGGAGTGTAAGATGTATCCACACGAAATGTTGTTTATTTGTAGAGGGGTGTCGCCAGAATGCAATTGGCATACAAACTAGACATCTCTTTAAAACATTTATTTGGTCTCTATCTTTACATCTAAATTTTATGTATGCAAAATCCAGCTCAACACATGCAAAACACTTAAAGACAGCACCTGGGCTCAAACTTCGCCAACGTTAATTCCACACTATTTTGTCTGCATTTGTTTTGCATAAAATGCTACACGACACAGACATTCCAGAAGTTTAAGCACCTGAAACTCCAGCATGGATTTTCCTTTGTTGGACTCAAGCATGAAGCGAAATGCCCCAATTCCTGTGTTGGGATTGTCAGCCTCTTCTCTGTTTCCCTGAAAACAACAACAGCTAGTTAATTAAAAATTGTTTGTGCACACAAAAGCTCGGCAAACACTGGATTTTTGGGTGAATATAATGATGAGAAAATAATGAAGAGAGGATATCTAAAATGTGTGTTGTACACAGAATTAAACATTTTTTGGTAGTGGGGGTTGGCTGTAATAATAATATGTGATGTATGTTTCCTTGAAGAATGTCCAAAAGTTTCAGTGGTTTACATTTACGACCTATACATCTATGTAAACCATTTTATACAGAAGCCACCTTGGAAAAAGTGTGAGATTTTGGGAGGCAATTCAAGGCAAACTAATCTTCCTTAATGTTCTTTTCAAAACATCAATTACTGGAATGTGTTGTGCAAACTTTCAAAACATCTACTGTGCTGCAAATATTCATGTGTGTGTTGCCAATTGTATTACATATACATACATATTAAGTCAGATGCACTACTTGCATATCTTACATGTGTCCATGTGGTACTATACTGCAGATATACTGTTACTTTGCTTCCTATGGACTGACTGTAAATTTATTATACGTAACTTACATTGAAGGAGGCCAGGGCCTCACTGACACTCTTCTCAATGAAGTCGTCTGTGATGCGACGGGAGGGGTGTTCATTGAAAACTGAGTTCATCAGAGCAATCTTGGCAGCGCTGCGCCTTGCCTCCGCCTTGGTGGGACAGAACTGTCAAACAGTGAAGAGAACATGCATAAGCCGTCAGATACATTCAGAAATACAAGATATACAATCAGAAAAGCCAAAGACAGCCAGTGTATCTGTGGAGTAAAGATGTCCATTTGTCCCTATTAAAATTTGAATTTAAAAAAAACTCCTGTTATCATGCAGACACTGTACCTGGAAACTTCCGAAGCAGCTGCCTCCGGGAAGACTAACATAGCAAACATATGGAGGGCTGTTGGATGGGACCATTTCATAAACAACTAGAGCTCCGTTCCGCAGGTCGGCCCCTCTGGTCAGCTTCATCTGCCAAAACTCCTGTAAAGCTTCCACCACGTTTACTGCGGGGCACAGAGATAAAAGCAGCCTCGTCACATTGTGGTATATCAACACTTTCTTTTATGAAAAACCTCCACTTACGTAAAAACATTCTGGTTTCTAGAAATCTAAATACTAAATACTTTAAGTTTGCATTTAAAGTGCCACTAGTTAATGGATGTGCAACATCCTCTCTAAACACAAAGGTGAAAAGGGTGGAGAGGGAAGAGGGGGGGGAGGGTCATCTCAAGGATGCCAGAGCGTTTTCCTGAAATATTTAGGTGGCTGCTTAGAGGAAATTCTGCATCAGCCCAGAGGAGCTGCTTAAAGAAACACACTCTCAACTCTACACTTTATGAGTTTAAAGTTACATTCTTGCCCTCCAAAGGGAAACAACAACAAAGAAAAGCAGTAAAAATGGTCGACTGAGTCAGAAATGATCATCTGGGTTTGCAGCCAACATTATCTAGGGCTCTTTGACTTCTGTTACCTCACAGCTCTTTCCCGCTGAGCTCCCACTGTTTGATTCGAACACGGGCAGCCTGCTTCTCGCTCTCGTACTGAGTCTGGAGCCTGATCAGTACGTTGTAGAGCTGCAGCTTTGCAATTATTGAGGCCTCCGTAAACAAGCCGAGATATATACTGACATTAAATATATAAGTCCCTAAACTACAATCCTCTTACTCTGTGTAAAGAAAAAGTCAAACTATAACCTGTTCTCTTGTTGTTAGCCAATTATAAAGTAATAACATATGTGCTATTGAAAACACCAATTCAAGTACAAGCTGCTCTATATTACTTTCAGCAAAGATATAAGAATCCATAACGTACTTTTAAAGTATTACAGATTACATATTCTTTATCATAAGTATCCTTCCAACAGTTAACTTGGCTCTAGGTGTATGATGAGCCACGGGATAGTATATGTATTCTATTTTATTGAAAATGTAAAGTAGTTTCTCCAAAGTTGGCTCACCACCAAATTCAGACCCTGACAAAGTTATTTTTGAGCATGTCAAGGTTTCAGAACGATCATAAGAAAACACATTTTGGTCTGTTTTTTATCAGTTTTTGAGCATGTCCTGAAAGATAAAACAGAGAGGATGACGTGACAATGTTGCTAGCTCAGACTAAAAATCACAGTGGTTTTTAATGCAAATTTAAGCCTTATAATTTCTATGGCATAAGTATAACTATACCACAGAGAAAAATAAAGAAAACCCAAAACACAATGTAATGTATGGGAAATAAATATTGCCATAATGCGTGTTTTTCTGTAACAGCCCTTTCTTCCCAAGAGTTAATCACAAAATTGGAGCAACATTAAGACAAAAGTATCGCCCTGATAAACCAGTCTTTATGGTGCTGCCAGCGTTGACGTGTTAAGTAGCCTAAATGGGATAGAGGAGGGAAGAAGCTGTTAGTCAGAGACCATGGGGAGACAATCTTTTGGAAATAAATCCTATTAACAGGAATACTCGTATTAGCGCCAACTGCCAACATTATAGCAGCTTTTTGGTCTTTTCAGTTTGCTGATAAAAAAATACTTTTAAAAAAGGTGGGTAACTATTATTATGAGGCAAACAGCAATCAATGTGAGAATTTAATTATATTTTTCTATAAATAAAGTTAACATAGTACCCATGTGGTACTACTTACTAAGAGGTTTAGTCTGGATGAGACACAAAACATTTTTGGTCATCTCTAAAAAGATGGTCAAACTTAATTTTTCTCAAGAAAATAAGAAAATACTGGATAAACAGATTTTACTCTTTACTCTCTGTACATATTTGCTGACAGTAGTATGTAGCCTAAAACCCCTGTCTTTCCTTTGTTAGTAGGCTAAAATAATATTTGTATAATACTGTAATATTTTTCACCAGTATTTTACAGTGTCCAATGTAAAACAAGAGAAATTGAACGTTGGTAATTTTGGGGGCATAATAGTTTATTGTTTGTAAGGAGCTCCTTTAATGAAGTGATTCACCCCACATATATATAGCTGTGTAAATATCAGAGGAAAACTTTAAAACATAACGTTGATACTGCATCAGGTGAATATCACCATAGTACATGGTAAAACAAAATAAAGTGGTTATATTTGACACTATGTAGCCAAACATGACACAAGAGTGTTGCTACTGTTTTTTTCCGCTGCTAATACACTTCCAAACAAATGGCGCAGCTGAAGTGGCTTTCTGCTCTTCAAAACTCCCAAAGTATCACCAGAACAACATGACACAGATTAACACCATCATCTCCACATTAAACAGAGCTTAATCGCCGCTGAAATTACCTCTGCCATAACCTTGTGTGTGTTTGGCGAAGCTGCGGACCACAGCCTCCACCGCCTCCTTCAGCACCGCCGGGTTCCCCGGGTTACAGTGGCCGGCAGCCCCCGGCCCCAGCCCCGCTCCGATCCCGCCGTACAGGCTGTGGAGCTGCAGCGGAGGCGGCGGCGGAGGAGGCCCGCACGAAGCGGCCAGAGAGGCCGGGGAGGGCAACAGCGGCGCGATGGGGACCGTCACCCCGGGCCGGAGAGAGGAGCGGAGAGTCCCGGTGGGTCCCGAACCGAACCCAATCCCTGGCTGTAGCCGCTGAGGGCGGATACTGTCCGGGATAACGTTAGATTCCATTGTCCCAACGTAACGTCTGCGAAGTCCCGGTCTGGAGGAAATTTACACCGCGATCAACTCCCGACGGTTTCTGGTTCAAAAATGGTCTGTAAGAGCTGAATGAACAAAGTGTCTGCAGGGTTTTGTCAATCACAGCAGAAAGAAGTAGCCTACTTAGCCGATGTTCATTCGACACATATCACTGCTGCTATGCATCCTCACTCTCTGGATTAGGCTGCGGGATTGTCAGTCAAATGGTGCCTTCAAGGACCCCTCGTATTGTAGGCGAGATCTTCTCAGCTAAAGATTTTTTGCATGTTTAGTCATTGATATCCGTGTTTTTTGTCCATTATCTACATACTACACTGATATGATAATATTTTTGTATTATAGGCTATTATTCTAAGGTTTTGTTGTTGTAACTGTGTCTATGTTTTTGTGAATGGTGTGCTCAATAATTATATTTCAGGTCATTGTTTGTGTCTTTATTGTGACTGTTGTGTGTTTTTGGTGTACCATTAATCAGTTAGTTTTAACATTGTCGTGTTTGTCATGTTTCAATGCAAACACCAAATCTGAAGAATAGGCTATTTCCTGTCTGGTGAATGGGGATATTTATCCATCATAGACCAACAGAGATTGTGCCAAAAAGAAGTGTCCAAATAAGGTTATCTATACATGTGTGAAGATTCTAGTGGTTATTGGTTCAAATCAAGACCCTAATGCTTACCTAAGTTAACATAAAGTCATGTTTTGTGTCATTCAAGCCACATGCAACACTTTACATAGATTCAGTCAGTAATGAAACAAAATAAAGATAATGTTGACATTGGGTTACCTAAAATGCATAATGAATAATGGAAGTGCATCATTCTCAAGGCAGCTGCGTAGTCCAAGCAGGAAGAGAGGAGACTGAGAGACAATCTGACCTGCTGTTTTGGAGAATCACTGGCTACAGCTACCACTGATGTTCCTTCATAGAAAAGATTGGAGAAAATTCCAAAAAGAAAGTTTTGTGTGGCAGAACTTTGTTTATCATCTCACAAAGCCCTCAGATTTATCATGTCCCTTTGAAAGGGGCCCGACCCCTAGGTTGGGAATCTCTGGACTAAACTGTATATGAAGCAGTTAAACTAGATCTACTTTGAGCAGCTATAACAGTAAAATGCTGCTTACAGCACCATAATTATAACATTAACACAGAATTAACAGATTTCTCTTAATCTTATTCTGTTTCTCCACACTGCAGATTCACAATTGTTTTTTCTGTCTGCTCTGTTTATGGGATATATGTCGCATGTCTGTTCATCCTGAGAGAGCAATCTCTCAATAGTTGCTCTTCCTGAGGTTTCATCCCTTTTCTTTTCCATTCCAGGTTGTGTGTGTGTGTGTGTGTGTGTGTGTGTGTGTGTGTGTGTGTGTGTGTGTGTGTGTGTGTGTGTCTGTGGAGTTCCTTACCTGAATTGAGTGTCTAAAGACAAAGTATGTCATATACTATACATATTGTAAAGCCCATTGATGCAAAAAATTGGGATTTTGTGTTACTATGCATTAAACAAATTAATTTAATTTACACTCAACAATAGTAGCCTTGAGTTTGACCTTGACCTCAACACTGATACTATTTTACACCTTTGGTGTTTCATCCAATCCAATTAGCAAGTGCAATTTGTAACATTTGTAGTGTCCTGTTTTTATTGACATTAGGTCAGAAAAGTCAGTAATTGCAATTGTTTAGGCCAATTAATAATTAATATTGTTGGATTGAATTACATTACATTAAAGGTGTTTCTAATGTTGTACAGAATATTATTAGCCAGTCACCGGTTAGTGATGGAAGATGCAGTGCCACTAAAAAATGATAAACAAGCAAATTAAACTACAGAATAGTTATTCACCAGATATTACTGATATATGCTTGTTTGTACTGCTAACATGTTCATCTAATTTGTAAAACCAGACCTTTGATATTTGATTCAATTACCAACTGTGCTAGACATTTTAATTCTGTTGCAGTTTTCTTATTGTTGATAGAAACTGATGGTGTAATTGTTTACTCAATTCCCCTTTGTATATAGTAGGTAGTAGGCCTGGTACAGTAGTCAAATGTAAGAACTTGTGCTGTAAAAGCTGAACAATAAGGGGGAAAGAGGCTGCAGGTATAAAGTTTTAATACAATTGCTTAAAGAGCAAACTCTGAAATGTCAAAAAAAGTTCGTTCCACTTTTACTTTATAGCGTAAATTTGAACATATGCATGCAGTTGTGATATTTCCGCTATTTTCTACGGCACCTTAAGGCAACATTCAAAGTCAGAGAAATATCGGGACAAGAAACCTGAGCCTCCTCTTGTTTTCCTCTGGCACCAAGAGAGTACAGCTACAGTGTGGGTTTACAGCTCCAACTCTGCAGCCTGAAGCATGTGATTAAAACTTAGAAGCGGAGCAACTTAGTTTACTCGATAAGAGGGCGAGAAAAAACGGGTGATTGATCTTTGAAACAGTGATAGAGATACACTGATGCATGTCTGAGTAAGTGGACCACCAACTTTGTGCAGAACAAAGCCTTGGAGAGGAAATGGGACCTCCTCTTGTGCTTCCTAAATGTGTTTTTTTATGAGTTTCTGGAGCTTGTGTAATTTTGCATTCTTTCTGTGGTCTGGTCTGAGGCCACGGGACTTAGGGAGCATTTGAATATCTGGCTATGAAAGTCTCACAGAAGCCAAGAAAAAAAAGTCTAAGATCTAACAAATGAGATGTGGCCTGTCAGCGTTGTTTGCTTTAAAGAAGCCTACACAGACACAACTGAAAGGGAAAATCAACAAGTCATATTGCAATTGTAATGAGTGTTTGTCTCACTGGAGGGCGTGCTCTCTTTTCATTACAACAGTTAATAATCTCAGCTATGCAGCTCAGTGACACTTGGACGCTGGTGTTGTTCTCCAGTCGTTTTCTGAGGCTTAGTTTGAATGAGCTGCTGTGTGTTTGCTGCTCAGCAGGGCCATTTAATTCACTCGGGGGGTTTTGGCAACGCCAAGCAACATGATGGATACAACTTTAATGCAGGAGGCTTCTAGGCACTCTAAAGCAGAATAAGGGATCCTCTGACCTATATACTGAATGTACTGGTTTCCCCTCTCTTTGTTCATCACAGTGAGCTGAACTGTCAGCTATGGTTACTAAGTACTTTTCAGATAAAAATTTTGCATAAAAACACATATGATAAGCTGAAAAATAAAATGCATTGTTCTGGCATTAATTGTAGTTCCACCAAAAAGACATTTCCCTTCTAAACTTTTACATGGTTTCAGTTCAATAACAGTTTGAAGCCAAAAGAAACATATTAAAATAATCAAAAAATTTAAAAAAAATAGAAAATACTAGAGAAAATTCCAAAAAGATAATAAAAGCTGAGTATAGCAGAACATTTTCTTCTTTTCTCTCCAGTGAATCATCTCACAAGTCCCTCAGATTTATCGTGTCCCTTTGAAAGGGGCCTGACCTCACTGGACTAAACTACCTGACTGTATATAAAGCAGTTAAACTAGCTCCACCTAAAAAATATTCCCCAGTCACGGGGCCAATTTCTCTGCAGAACAAGTGCTTTTACTTTTGATACTTCAAGTACATTTTGCTGGTAATACTTGTAAGTTTTTTTTTAACATTACACATTTTTATTCTACTATATGTGTATAACTGTAATTTCTAGTGAAGAGAAATGGTGTCTGACAGCTGTAGTTACTCAACAGATTAAAAATATTTGATCATTTTATGAAATATGAAACAAATTAAACAACCAACACAATTTAAAGCATATAAACTAGATTAAATTAGTTCAACCTCGACCAGCCAAAACATTAAAATGCTGCTGATTATTATAACACTCTCAAAAGGGGAAATTCTGTATAATGAGTACTATGTCCCTTGATACTACTAAGTACATTTTGTTGGCAATGTTTATGTTTTCCCATTTTATACTACCAAACTGTTACTACCTCTTCCTGCTGCAACATTTTTATAGTAACCAGGTCTATGTCACCCCTGCATGCCTTGCATACCACAGCAAAGAATGTTCCATGTCTAGAGCTCTGTTTTTTTGTTGTTGTTTTTTTAGAGGATGGATTTGAGAGACATAAACAACCAAATCTGTTTCCACCAGGGGAGTCCAGGCCAGTGGTGAACAGACTCAGGACAGAGAGAATAATCGCTGGCTGAAAACATTCCCACATCTGGTTTTGATCTAAGCTTTATAGGCAGAATCTGACTTTTAAAACTCCGGTGCGGGGCTTTCTCCACTAAATGAACAGAGACTCATAGGAGAGTCGTTTATGTCCACAGTGTTTTCCCTGTTAGCCCCCCCATCTTGAATTGTTTATTACTGACTAGGGTGGAGTGGGGTTGAGAATTGGTCTAATTACTTTACAACAACCATAAAGATAGACAATAACACCCTGTTGGATGTAAACCAAAGGTAGAAAGTTTACATCCACATGAATGAGTGTCAAACAAGGTTTCCCCTGAAAGGACAGCTGACTGAGATATTTCTAAAGACTCTTATTTCCATCCATCCATCCATCGTCAACCGCTTATCCTGCGTACAGGGTCGCGGGGGGGCTGGAGCCAATCCCAGCTGACATTAGGCGAAAGGCGGGGTACACCCTGGACAGGTCGCCAGTCCATCGCAGGGGAGTCTTATTTCTCTTTAGAAAATAGTTTTGTTTGGTTTCAATTTTCTGTCCATTAAATTAAGACAATTAGAAACCAAAACACAAGGTTTTAGCTTTTCTTTAAACAGGAGATTTAACTCTTAGTACTTACCATTTACCCATAAGACTCTCCAGTTGATCCAGAATGCTACGGCATTTGTACTAACAAGAACACGGAAAAGAGGTCATATTTCTTTCTGCTCACCTACAAAGTGTATAATTCTATAAGTATAATGGTCAGGCACCTTCATATTATAAAGAGCTCATAGTATCTTGTTACGCCACTAGAGTTCCTATATGGTCTCCAAAAGTAGAATGGGAGCCAGAGCCCAAGTTCCTCTCCTGTGAAACCAGGTCCCAGTTTGAGTTCCGGGGCAGACACCATTTCCACATTTAGGAGTAGGCTTAAGACTTTACTCTTTAATAATGCTTATTGTTAGGGCTGGCTCAGGTGAGCTCTGAACCCTGAAATCTTTGATGGTGCTGGATGAAAAGTTATGGGGATGACCAAAGTGATTACAATGATCATCCTGAGGGGAACATGAATGTGTGTACACAATTTCATTGCAATCCATTGAATAGTTGTTGAGACACTTCACTAAAAAATACAAATGTCAACCTTCTGGAGACAAAATGGTAAGACACATTCATCCTCTAGGAGCTCGGAATGTCTCTGCAGAAATTTTGTTGTGAAATGTTGTGATATTTCAGTCTGTGAGTGGTGGATGAACATACAGTCAGACAGCCGTCTCAAAGGATTAGAGACGACTAATATAAGGAGGATAATATAAAGGAGCATAATTTAAATGCTGTTAACATCTTATGATGATCCCAGAGGAGTGATAGATTCCTACAACATGAAACTATAATTTTATGGCCACATTTACATTTCGTTCCTTTATTTAATGTTTATTTTTACTGAGGCAGGTATGGGCCACTGCCACATACCACAGCACGTGTAGCCTAGATGGACTTTTAAACATTTAAACAACACACATCACTTCAATCAATCATCAGTCAAGTGGAAAGCACCTTATCATTTATGAATACAAGCCTCATCACTCATTTAAAAGGTAAATGACTAAAAACATAAGCACACTACCACCTACATAAATTTGATTCCATTATAGAAATTATTATAAACTTTATTTTTAAATCACCTTTCTTAACAGAAGTAACAAATTTATACTTTTTACTAATACTTTACAACACAATCATACAAAGGCATCCAAAATAAAACAATTAATTTTTACAACATTCTGTCAGTTATCTTATCTGTTGAAGCTGATGTAGCAATACACCAACGTTCTCCCAAACAGGCCCTCACTGTCATCATGGTGATGATGTTACTGGTGATTAAGTGTTTTATTTAATCAATATGATAACATGTACACTCATGTTGGAGAGTCAGCAGAGGGACTGTTGAACTTTGGTATGTTTGGCCCAGGTGGCAGACCGCGCAGTAAGGGTCAGCCCCGCGAGTCCCTTAACAACACGAACATCCAATAATGTTGTTTTTATCTTGTCCAATCAGAACCACATCGTGACAGGGTTGCATTGCCATGCGGGACTATAAGAAGTGTGAGTGTCCTACAGGAAGGCACCATCCAATCCAGATTCTCCTGCGATACAGGTGAGTTTAAACTCTGTTCATCTCATTCCTTATGGGATTAAACTGCTTTTCATACACTGAGACACATTTTAAATGACAAATTTTAATGTAAAATTTGCCATTTAATCACTTTGAGAATTAATGAGAGAACTGATGAATCATTTAAACACATTTAAAGAAAAATAGCCAGCTATGTGTAGGATTTGCTCCTGAAGGTGTTGAGGTTTCTGAATTATGTAGTTAATTATATTATATATACTATATATTTAACATATTCAATGTTAAACTTTCATGTAAAGTAATGGTATAATCCCGTTCAATCTATTTTGATATTATTAATATAATTTAATGTCTTTATTCATGGTTTATGAGCACTGTCACCAAATGCAACAGAGAGGTTGTAAAGGGAAAACACACAAAGCTCAAAACATGTAGAAAGACAAAAAAGATGATATATTTTTATACACTCAGAGTTAAACATTCTAGGCTTAAAAATGGCAAAATCAAATTTAACAGTGGTATTTATCATGTAACACATTGTTGCGAAGACATCTGCAGTACTTTACACTTCACATGCCACTGCATGTTGAAGACCTTTTACATTTCTTAAAATTGTGGTAATGCAGTATTGGTTTTTGCGATCTTAACGTACAACTGATATGTGAACTTAACTGTGACTCTAGTAATGAATTACATGTGATCCATACCACTGTGATGGATTACCTTTGACAAGCCAATTTCCTCTTTCTTCTTTGTTTTTAAAAAACTTTCAAAAGAATTCATGAATAACCCAAAAGAGAAAGTGACGAACTGATGTGTTTACTGAATTCATAGCAGCATAGTGTTATCCAGAAGAGTCTAATTTTAAACACAACTGAAGTGATTAGTTTTTTTTTTTTTTTTTTTTTTTAAGGAAGACTGCCCTCTTTTACATTTTGTGTGTGGTATAAAAAAAAATACAATACCAGGCAAGTGGATGTTTAAAAATGAAAAGCCTTTAATAAAAAGGGGTTAGTACATTATGAAAAAACAACAACAATATGTCATGCAAAAGTTTTTAAACAATCTTTGGGGTGTAGCAGTTTGAAAATCATGTGAGTTTTTCTACTTTTGAATGAAAGCTATGAAAAAACAGCATCTATGTTTGAACACAGAGGTTCATTCCTGACCTTGAGAATACGTATCTGTGCCAAATTCTTTCAAACTCAAGGTTGACTTACAAGGTTTTTATTGTAGCTGTTGACTCGATGTCGCTGATAAGCCAGATACAGTTTACAAGTTAGTGCGTGGGGCTTGGACAAACACATAGAGACTAAAAAATATTTATTTTATTCCTTCATGACAAAAAGCCAGGCTGCGATTCCTAGAAGAACTTTTATTGGTGAGTCATCTGATTGAGCAGCAGGAGGCCTTCCTGAAATCAAGTTCTGAAAAACAGTTTTATGAAACATTTTATGAAACACTGCCTCGTGGATAGAGCCAATGTTTGGTATTTGGGTTTTAAAAAATTTTAATTGCCAGGGAAGTTTGAAAACACTGTTCCCAAAAATTAAAGATGAACTCAAGGATGATGGCAAAAAACTGTCACATGTAGTAACATGTGAATGATTACACAGCAATAGAGCAAAAATGAAGGGAGGAACATAGACTATATTAACGTACAGAATAATAAGAAAATGTTTGTTTTTGTAGGTCTTCTCCACTCAGCAGCCATGAAATTCTCCCTCATCGCAGCCGTCGTCGTGCTTGCTCTGGCACAAGGTATGACCTTCACACAGTTGCTTGAAGTTCTCCGAATTTGAGAGTGTAAAAGTATTTTGGTTTGTCACACAGCTGTAAAAAACAACTTACTGACTCTTTCCCCATCCCCTTGGACCTTTGGGAACCCACAGGAAGCTTTGCACAAGATGCTGCTGATCTTGAAAGGCTCGGTCAGTATTTTGAGGAGATGAAGAACAAAATGACTGTGGAGCTGACCGAGATCCTCCGCAACCAGGACCTGGCAAACCAGGCTCAGTGAGTACAGAGAACACCTCTACATATAAAGTGAAAGTTTAGTCATGACTCACGTGCAGGATGATTAATATCTATTTGCTGCTGACCACACTGGACCTTGTCTGTAAATTTAAGAGTTGGAACTTCTACTGTAACTCTCAATGTTTATTAGGTAGGCATAAAAGTCAATGCAGGTAAATGCAGAGGTGGAATAAGTACATTTCCTCAAGTATTGTACTTAAGAATAAATCTGAGGTACTTGTACTTCACTTCAGAATTTCCATTTTATGCTAGTTTCTATTTCTGCTTTCAGAGGGAAAGCGCTTACCTAAGATTTTGCATACAAAACATATGATCACTTTATACAATATGATTCATTATTATAAATTGAAGTACTAAGCAATATATCAAGTAGTTAAAATTAGCTCCATGTTGACTAGCTACAACAGTAATGCATGAGTAATATTAATATAATATATGTAATAGTCACAGGGTCAAGTTTTTGTATAATGGGTATATTAGTTTTGATATTAGAAGTCAATTTTATATTAATAATAATAATAATAAACTTCATTGATAGAGCACTTATTTAAACAAAGTGCTTCACAGGGACACAGAGAGAAAGATTAAATAAATACAACAGTGAATGTTGTACATTAACATTAAAATAAGCAGGATAAAAGAAGAAATAAAATGAAAACAATAAAATAAATAGGCAGCTCAGTTAAAGTCAGGGTATGCTTTCCAATAAAAGGAATTTAAAGACATATAATCTGGAGCCAGGTCATGCAGACCCTTGGAAGTAATCAATGGGAATATAAAATCAATCCTAAAACAAACGGAGAGGAAATAAAACCATGTGCTTGTAACAAGAGTATTTTTATAGTATTGCTACTTTTACTTACTTATTACTATTACTTGAGTGCTTCCACCACCTGTCAATCCCTGTCAGTAATCATGTATGGCGGGTTTTCTGCCTTTAACACAAAACGCAAATAGTACAGTATTTAATATTAAATTTGTATTTCTAACTGTGAAAGCTTATGTTAAGAAATCAATTTTCTCACAGAACCACCTGCACTCACTTTGTCTTTTGCAAGCATAAGAAATCAAAATGTTACCAGTTTATCAGAAGCCCAAGACACATGCTACTAACAGAGTGATATGTAGGTCAAACAGGTGCATTGTATTTTTTAATATATGTTCATTTATGACGTTCTACCCTACAGGACCTTCATGGCAGACAAGAAAACCCAGCTGGAGCCCCTGGCTGCTCAGATCCAGGAGCAGCTGAAGACTGTTGCCACCAGCGTCGAGGAGCAGGTCAAGCCCCTGGCTGCCAACGTGCAGGCTCAGATCCAGCCCATGGTGGATAACTTCCAGAAGCAGGTGGAGGCCATCTTTCAGAGGCTGACAGAGCAGGTCAGGGCTGTTGGCAACTAAGCTTGTACTTTCCAAAAGATGCAAAAGTGCCTCCTCGCCACCATCTTCTCTTTCCTGGACTGAGTTAATGGAGCTGCTTGCATTTAATGGCTGGCCTGAACGTGCAGGCAGAAGTACAACAGCTCAAGATGTGTTTTAGTGATTGTTTTCATTGACATTGTCATCTCTCTGTCCCTAGGCACAATTAAAACTTGTAACACAACCTCACAGTGTCAGGTTTACTTTGTGTGTTTGATTTGTGCTTATTATTTTGACTGCTTTAAAATCGGAGTACTTAATTATTTTGATTTAGGCATCAGAAACACTATCTCATGATCAAGTTGGTATGACTTGATACGAATAATTCAGGCTGATAGCTGGCATTTTTAAAATAATTGGCTTCGGCAGATATCGGCACTCATGAGGCCAATATACAAAAAAAAAATGTATGCAGACACATCTGCAGGCATCATAGTGCGGCTGCTGTGGAACGACATTTGCGCACCCCTTTGTGAGTTTTGGGAAGGTGGTGAACATATTTCTACCATCCTAAATGACAGCTAATCTAATCTAAAACCATTACTGGCATCTGACAAACTGTACCCCACTCTCCCTTAAACACAGTCACATTCTAAAATCTACAGCATAACCCACAGTAGACTTCTATTTTACTAATTAATCAACATTCCATCTAAAACACGGCGTTACTGGCGAAGATAACCATGTAATGTATATTAGACTCAAATTTTCCTCGCCGATTGCAGTTATACATGACGTCTATGAAGATTCTCAGTCATCCAGGTCATAGTTATCCAACGAAGGTTAAAATCAAGGGCAACTGAACGACCATCGTTGGTATCTTCACCTGAGGTCAATAGGTTACGTTTGTTGAGTTTCCTAGGAAGTGATAAAGGACAGCATTGTAAGTGGGGGATAAGTGGTGGCGTGGTGGTCTACGCCACCACTTATCCCCCACTTACTCAACAAACGTAACCTATTGACCTCAGGTGAAGATACCAACGATGGTCGTTCAGTCTTGGCCACAGGTAGTCTTAACGACTGTCGTCACAGCAACAAGGAACACTAACGAACCAGCGGTATCGATGACCCGGGATAACGACCCCACTGAGGTTAAATAGCTGAGTTTCCCTGCCAGTCAGTCAGAACTGAAGAAGTCCTTTGGATGAGGGACAAAACGTCTTCCAGTATCTTCAACCAAGTCCAGTTGCCCTTGATTTTAACCTTCGTTGGATAGTTATACATGACTTTTCTTTGTTTTGATATCGGCAATATAGATCTGCCATCAACCCATATGAGTCATCCACTAGTACAAGCGACGGGAACAGGTTTATTCTGATAATGTGTAATTTCACAGCCAACAACGGACACAAATTGATTATTTTTAATTATTTTAAGTTTTATTCAAGCAAGCAAAGGTCAAGGGAAATTTCACAACAGGCATCTATAGCCCAAACATTTAAAAGGGATAAAATGGCAAAAAGGAATGCTTTCAATCTTGTTTTGTCACAATTCTCCTTTAAAACCCTCATAAAATGATCATTTTCTATTTTATCTTTTTCTCTTTTTTTTGCATTTTCTCTTTAACTCAGCAAACCAGGCCTGGTTCATTACAGGCCTGACTGGAGACTTGTTTCCATGGTATTTTTAATATATTATTTGACTTCTTTTTACTTTGTTTTGTGTATTTTCAACTTTTTCACTGTTTAATTCTTTTCTCCATCGGTGAAGCTAGTCCCAAGGTTCCCCACTCCTGTGAATACGAAACAAAAACATAATGAGGGATGTGATTATTTTTAACCCCCTTTGCCATACAATTTGCAAGCAATTTTCAAACTCGCATTCAACTTTCATGTCACCATCAACCAAAACAAGCAGTTCTGCTTAAAAAACCCAAACAAAAAACCTCACACAGGCCTTATGTTAAACCTGAGACTAATTGTAGATCTAAAGTTACAGTTGGAAGAACAAGGCTTTTGATGAGTATACTCTGCTTGTTAAAGCAGCTCTGGAACATGGGTTGTACCTTGGATTCAGACACTCTGGACACCAGCTGTATTTGTCACAGTCTTCTGTGCGGCCTCCTTGGCCTGGTGGGCTTGAAGCACAGCCACTGCCTCATCCACCTGGAAAAGAAAATACTTCAGTGTTAGCAACACCATGTCATCATCTCAAAGCGCCCAAAAAGATTCACCTCTGTGTCCTAAACAATGACTCCTAACTAGTAAAGATAGAGACCAAGTATTGACCTTCGAGCGGAGAGACTCTGGGGACTCCAACATGTGGAGCAGCTCAGAGTTGTCAATCTCCAGCAGCATGCCGGTGATCTTTCCTGCCAGGCTCGGGTGCATGTTCTGGATCAGTGGAAACAGACGCTCACCTAGAGAGGCAGATGGAGAGGATTTAAGTCCAAATGGGGAAAGAAAGTTAAGGTTAAGTAGTATTGTACATACTGGGTACAGTGAGAGGCAGGGGATGAATGGTACGTACCCAGCATCTGCTTCTGTTCCTGTGGTGGAGCAGCAGCCAGCATGGACGCAGTCAGAGGCTCTTGGCCCTGAACATGCACAGCAGGCTGGGGGGGGGAGGGGGTGGCCAGAACATTTTTAAATGCACATCCAAAATTTAACCATTTCCACCCATGGAGGGCAGAACAGTTCAGTAGGCCTGGTCTATAAAAGAAATGTGTATCCTACCTGCTGCATGGTCACTTGCTGCTGAGCAGTCATGTGCTGCTGGGTGTTGCGGACTCCTGCAGCGTACTTGTACTGAGGGACTACACGCACAGCAGGGGCTGCTCCAGCAGTGGGGTTTGCTGGTCGGGGGCCCATGGTCTGAGCGGCTGTAGGAGGAGGTGGGGGACAGAAACCTCAACACAAAGACACAAGTAGCAGCCATACAGTTGAGCTGCATTTCCTGTGCAGTTAGACTATTGATTGAGTGTAAGTGACTGACCGACACGCTGGGTGGACATCATGCGGGGAACCTGGGAGGCAGGCCGCATGGCACCGAAGGTCTGAGGACGCGGTGCTGAGGGACGCATGGCACCCGGCATGTTCTGGAAGTCTGTGAACACACCAACATAGTGGCTTCATGTACAAGTACAAACAACTGGGTTTTTTTTTGACTGCATCTTATGGTGCTTTTCAATTGACAGTAATTATACACAATGACAGAAGGACACATTAAAAAAAAAAGGGGCAAGATACTCACGTTGTGGCCGGACACCTTGGGTGGCCCAACGTGGGCTTGGGCGGAGCTGGGCCATCTGCCCAGCAGCTGGGTAGTAAGCACGGTTCTGGGCCTGAGGAATGGCCGTCATGAAGTAGCCAGAGGGCGGGGCTGGCTGGTAGGGATTAATAACTGGGTTTGGCACTGCGCGCACGCTGGCCATGCGCTGCATGTACTGGTTGGTCAGGTGGGCTTGACGCTCCTCTTTGCGCTGGGCCAGAGCCACATACAAAGGCTTGGTGGCTACAATGCGTCCATTCATTTCTGTCACCGCTTTGGTGGCTTCCTCTGGGGACGAGAAGCAGACAAAGCCGAAGCCTTTGCTGCGCCCACCCTCCATCATGACCTGAGAGCGAGATGAAACTAATAAATGATTCTGGACACACAGAGAATCAGTACAGGTAAATGGAAGCAGTTTCGCAGCAATCTATTCATTACAGAAGATAAGTAAACAGCAGCGTTCCTACCTTGGCACTAGTTATGGTGCCGAATGGCGAGAACTCCTTTCGCAGACGTTCATCGTCAATGCCATCATCAAGGTTCTTCACATACAAGTTGACACCCTGAAGATATGACAAAAGTTGTGTTAGCTTTTGTGTTTTCTTTTGAACACACTACATATTATTCAGGAATAATCAAATGGCAAAGGACTTTAAAATGTCCCTTTTGTAGGGGTACTATGACACAGGTTTCCCCAGGTCATGTTAGGGTCAGTTGCTGAGCTAAAGTAAGCCAAAAGATGACAGCGAGTAACTCTGCAAAACAGTAGATCAGACAGACTCTCCTCTCTGCCTGCTTGGTGGACTGACTGACTAATGGTCTTGATAAAGATGCACTCCTATCTATTTGTTAGGCAACTCATTCTCTTTATTTTACTTCATTACAGACTGACTGGTTCTATGTAAAACTGTTGCATGTGGTTTGAATGACACACATGAGTTATGTTAACTTGTGTAAGCAGTAATCTCTGTACGTCTAGGAAGGATAAAAATCCCCAGGAAATGTCAGATTCAGATTTCGCGTTGGCGTTGCATGTGCTCATGTGTTGTACGCTGGCACTGGGTCACCCCAGCCGGGCTCAATAAACAAAAGCTCCTAAACTTCTTTATCACACCTGAACCTGCCTCACTTTATTTCCATAACACCTTTAATATTAATTTAATGTTTTGTCCATAGTACATATTTATCCCCAGAATCCATGATGAAGAAATGTGGGGCCCATGACCTACAGGTTCACTGTTGCAGCCATTTTGGCCAGTGCAACCCACTATGGAGGGAGCACTGAATTTGACAAAGCTGCAGTCTTTCAATATGCTTGACCAGACAATATGACTGAAGGTTTACAGAGGGTATGCGCATGACGTCACAGAACGCAGTTACGCTCACTGAGTGGCAGAAAGACGGTGTTAGCTTGAATCAGCTAAAAACACAAACACCACATCTAAAATGGGGAAGAGCTGGACCACTGGTAAGGATCACTGTCAAGACCAACTGCCTTTAATTTGAGCAAATAATCTAAATAATTTACTCCCCATTTGCTAAACGCCGCCATGGTAACAGATGTTCTGCCACTCAGTCCAGCGTGTTCCAGAAGGGGGAGTGACATCAACGCATAGTCTCTATTAACATCAAGCTATAACGGATTTTGCGGCACAATGAGTTGAATTTGCACTACAAGAGGAAACTGACCTGGTAGCGGGTCATGCGGTCTTGTTTCATTTGCTCAAATTTGCGCTTCAGCTCCGTCTGTCGTTCCACCTTCTTCTGGGCACGGCCGACGTAGATCAGCTTGCCATTCAGCTCCTTCCCATTCATCTCATCCACTGCCTGTAGCGAACAAGCAAACAGAGTCAACTCAGAGGTAAGAAACTGGCGGACATTGCCAGGTGGTCACTAGAAAATTGATGGTACAACTTACTTTCTGGGCGTCCTCGTGCCTCTCAAAACTGACAAACCCGAAGCCTCGAGACTTTC